TAGGTACTTTGCAGGGGATCCCACCCAAATAAGGCAAACGGGAGTAGCTATTCAATTTCTCTGCTTTGTTATTTAGTCTTTTTTTTTTTTCCTTTCGGAGCTGAGGACCGAACCCAGGGCCTTGCGCTTGCTAGGCAAGCGCTCTCTACCAGTGAGCTAAATCCCCAACCTCAGTTCTATAGTTTTAACAACAAAATGTCTTTTTTTTTTTCTTCTTTTTTCTTTTTTTGGTCTTTTTGAGACAGGGTCTCCCTGTAGCCCAAGCTGGCCTAGAACTCACTATGTAGACCAGGCTGGCCTGGAACTCACAGAGATTTGCCTGCCTCTGCCTCCTGAGTGCTGGAACTAAAGGCATGCACCACCACGCCTGGCATTCTTTTTCTTTTTTTAAAAGGCAGTCTCACTGTGTAACCCTGACTGGTCTGGAACTCTATGTAGGCCAGGTTGGCCTCAAATTTACAGAGATCTACTTGGCTCTGCCTCTCAGGTGCTGAGATTTAAGGCATGAGGTACTATGCCCAAGTGCAAGGTGTTTTCTTGATACTGTTCTTGTGCCATGATCTCTTTCCTTAATACTTTGCTGTAGGGTCAGTGATTTCTAGGTGACTTATAAACATTGGGAAAAGCTAAGAAGGTTCCAGGAGAGCATAGACTCTCTTCTCTGAAATAGATCAGCTAGATTAGCTCTTAACAGGAGATTCTTTGGGTTTGAAAGTCATTTTTAGCCCTACCATAATCAGTGTGAATGCATGTCCCATTTAAGGATGGAAGTTATGTTACTTGGGTTTGTCCTTAAATTAATGAGTTTAAGGAAATGTTAAGTGATTATCTGTTCTTTTCATATTCTTTTTTTCCCCATTTGTATATTGTTTTCTCAGAGGCGCTGAGTGAAGATGGTCAGATATGTGTATATTTTTTCAAAAGCCATTTAAAAAAATACGATATTCCTTTGTCATGGCAACAAGCCAGAGTGCAGACACAGAGGGAACTGCAGCAGAGTCAAGGACGGTGAGGTCCATGTTCAGTGTGTGTTTCTGTTGCTGTCCTATACTACTGTACCATATCTGGTACACTGATGCAGCCTGTGGTGAGCCAGTTCTGTTAACCCTGCAAAGCACAAGTCATTCCCACGGCATAAAAACTGTTTTAGAACAGAGTTACAGGCATCTCCTTCCATTTATCAGATGGATTCAGGTCATACCATACCCAGTTTAGAGAAGCAACACAAGCTGGTATCTCATTTCATACACATAGCTTAAAGATACAAAATGATATCTTAGCATACATGGTCTTGCAACACCTAAAGAATTCTCAAGTAGTCTTTCTCTTCAGGATAAACAACATCAGCAGCACAAATCTATTAATGCAGTTTCTTGTTATAGTAGAAAAGCAGGGTTCATTTCAGTAGGTGGTAGAATGCATTTCTTGAAATTTAGGATCGGGGGATGGCTCAGTGGGTAAAGGCACTTGCCATGCAAGCTTGGTGACATGAGTTCGATCCTTGTAACTATAAAGTGGAAGGAGAGAACCAGCTCCACAAAATTGTTCTCTGACCTCCACATGTACTCCATGTGGAGCCTCCCTTCTCCCCCAACATCATGCACACACACAATCAATAATAAAGTTTTAAAAATTTATACTCATTTATGACAATACTTAATGCCACTTTTTTTTTTTTTTGTCTTTTTGAAACAGGGTTTCCCTGTAGCCCCAGCTGGCCTGGAGCTCACTATGTAGACCAGGCTGGCCTTGAACTCACAGAGATCCACCTGCCTCTGCCTTCCAAGTGCTGGAACTAAAGGTGTGCACCACCACACCTGGCTTTAATGCTACTCTTGAGTTTAAAAAGTTCCTTTAACTTTTTAAGGCTACTGTCCTAGTTTCATTTCGGTTACTCTGATAAAGTACTTGGACAAAAAGCAACTTAGGGGAGAAGGGGTTTATTTTAGCTCACAATTCCAGGTTACAGTCCACCATTGTGGGAAAGTCAAAGCAGGAACTTGAAAGTAATCACATCTACAGTCAAGAACAAAGAGAACATGGGATGCATGTATACTTAACGCTCAGTACCCTCTCTACACTTACACACCAGAATCTTGCTTAGAGAGTGGTGCTGCCCACAGTGGGCTGAGTCTTCCCATATCAATTAATATAATTAAGACTATTCCTCACAGACATATCCACAGACCAACCTGATCTAAAAAATCCCTCATTGAGACTTGATTTCCAGGTAATTCTACATTGTGTCAAGTTGAGATTTAAAACTAACCATCACAGCTAAGTACCATAAATCTACTAAAAAACAAACCAAAAAAGAGCCATGTTTCTCGGTGTAAAACGTTAGAGACACAAAAGCCAGAACCAGCCTGTACTGTCCATGTTGTCACTAATGATGCCTGATATCTTTAAAGTCCAATGTCATAGGATAGACAGGAGTAAATACCAAGAGGAAAACTATCATCTCCAGATAGTACATCTGTCAGCTCACAATAATAATAGTGTCCAGTCTTTATGGTAGAGAGTTCAGCAAGGTAACCAAATAGTGACTTAGTACCTACCAAAAAATTTTCAGCCTAGGCATGGTGGCATATGCCTTTAATTGCACTCAGGAGACAAAGGCAGACAGATCTCCGTGAGTTCAAAGCTGACTTGGTCTACTTAGAGAGTTCCAAGCCAGCCAGGACTACATAATGAGACCCTTTCTCAAAAAAATCAGGCTAGAGAGATGGCTCAGTGGTTAAGAACACTGGCTGTTCTTACAGAAGACCCAGCAGCCACATGGCAGCTAACAACTGTCCTTAACTCTACTTCCAGGGGATCCTATGGCCTCTTCTGTCCCCCGTGGACATTGTACAACACAGGTGCACTTACATGCAGGCAATACCTACATACACATAAAATAAAAATAATAAATAAAAATTTTTTTTTAAAATCTCACAACATAACAAGCCCATAAACCCATAACATGGTATGAACTAGCAGAAGCCTGCCAAGGAAATGTTAGGATCCTGAATGTACAAAGGAAAGTAAATGAGGTGGAGCTCAGCTTTATCAGTAGAAAGACTTGGTGTGATAAAGGTGTTAGTTCTCAAGCCATAGAAAGTCACGACATTTTTAATGAAAAATCCAGTAAGTTTCCCCTTGTATTGACAAATTGATTCAAAATTCATCAGGATAAGAAAATGTGGAATAATGACCAAAAAAGAAAATGTCTTTAATATCAAGGAATATCTGCTTGGCCTGATAACACAACTACAGTAAAACAGCAATACCTAAAACCATATGTTGATTGATGCTGGAGCAGATGAACAGATCAGAATAGAAAGCCCAGAAACAGAACTACATACATGAATGCCATGCTACCTTAGTGAAATTAGCTGAGAAAGGACAGACAGTGTATTTGTTTAGGAAAAGATAGGTTGCATTATCTCTCCCCCACCATTTTCAATCACTGCTTTCAGGTGGATTCTAGAACTAAATGTAAAGAATAAGAAAATTGACAATAGTTGGGGGAATACAGAAGATCTGCTTGTAACTCTGGTATTAACAGGCTGGAGAGATGGCTCAGCAGTTAACAGTTGCTGCTCCTGCAGAGGACCTTGATTTGGTTCCCTGCACCCACTCACAACTGCCTGTCCTCCAGTTCCAAAGAATCTGATGCCCTCTTCTGGCTTACATGGTCTGCATTCTTGTGGTGCACATAAACTCACACAGGCAAACACATAGACATATAAATAAATGAATAAACAATTTTTTAAAAAGAGAAAACCTTAATATAAGAAGCAAGACCTAAATTGATGAAGCTGAGAGCCCAGTTATCCCTAGACAGTGGGCACTTTTGAAAGCAAATGTGTCTCTGAAGGCTGTTGTGTTTGAGAGTCCCTACTTAGTTTATAGTAGGAAAGCTGCCATATTCCCTGACTTGAGGGAAGCCCAGAGGCAGGCACAGGGTTGACATGAGCATGAGTCACCCCAATAGGGTACAAGAGTCTTCAGGCTTTTGTTCATAAGGTGAACACATGCCCAGCTGTGTCTGTGTGTTTTGTATGATGCTGTAGTTATCTTTTCTCTTTCCTGACCATAGCACTTCAAAACTTGTACTTAACAGTTTGGGGAGAAAATCTCTTCATCCTTCTGCAAGCAGTTTTCCTGCTCCATTGCTTCATGTGCACCATAAAGGGAAGAAAAATGCAGAGCATGGCCGAGAGAGAGGTCTCAGTGCAGAGGATCTGATTCGAGGAGCTTCTGCAGAAGAGCTCTTGGTGCAGTGTCTGTCCAGCAGTCTGCTGGTGGAGAAAGAAGAGAACAAAAGGTGAAGTCTGTTCCTTCCTATGCATAAGTGCCATTTACTCCACTTCTGCAGGATAGGGAGATTGGCTGCTGCTCAGCCAAGTCAAGACAGCCTGAGGTAGGGAGGTACAGACGGCCTGCCAAGGGTTGTAGTAATGAGACTGTATTTAAAAAAAGAAAGCAAAGCTGGGTATGGTGGTGCATACCTTGGGAGGCAGAGGCAGGAGGATATCTGTGAGTTCAAGGCCAGCCTGGTCTACATAGCAAGTTCCAGGCCATCTGGAGACCCTGTCTCAAAAAAACAGACCAAAAAAAAGTCATTCACTTCACTTCCTCTAAACATTTTTTAACTTAATTACTATTCTGTGTGTGTACATGCACATATGTATGTGAATGTGGATACACACATGAAGGTCAGAGGACGACTTTGTGGAGTCAGTTCTCTCATCTTGCATGGGTTCTCAGGACTGAACTCAGATTATCAAGCTTATATGACATAACCCATCTCCCTGGCCCTAGTTCTATGTATACCTGAAAAATTTTAAAGCCTAAGTTATGATAAAAAGTGTAGTATCTTCTCTTTAACTTATAAACCAAATTTATATTTCATAAGAAAAGTGGCATCAATCCCCACTACTTCCATATGTTTCTTAACATTACTTAGAATTCCTGCTTTTGGTTTATCTTCATTGGACTTATTTTGGTTTTATAGCTCCGTAATTTTTATTTCTTGATGAATCATCCAAATATATGGATTTCAGCTTATAGCTTAAAATTAACTCAAAATAATATTTCACTGCCACCTAAGACATTCTAGCACTAACTCCATACACTGTTCTTCTCAAGAAAAACAATCTGAAGTTGGGCACAGTGATACCTGTAGTCCCATCTACTAAGAAGTATGAGGAGGGAGAATCGCTTAGGCTTAGGTCCAGAAATCTGAGGCCATTCTGGACAAAACAATGATGTACCCCCACCTTACACATACAGACTGGAGGTATAGTTGAGAAGTAGGCTCAGTGTTTAATCCCTAGCACTGTCAAAAAAGCAACCTCATAAAAATTAATTAAAAAGGCATAGTAAATCTTTTAGAAATCATGAATTCAGTCTTCCAATATATTTATCAAGTACCCATCAAATGTGAGGCACCATTATAAGAACCAAGGATACAGCAGTGAAACAAAACAGACAAGATTCCCATCCAGTAGTTGAGGAAAGATGAGGGACATGTAACAAGAAGTGAATGACTTTTTGCTGTTAACTTTTTACTTCTCAGTTCTCAAATGTTTCCAAATTTTTGATTATACACTGTTTCAGGTTTGAAGATCAGCTTCAACAGTGGTTATCTGAAGACTCACAAACATTCACAGAGTCAACTTACCTTCCTCTCTACCTTCCTCAGACACTAGTATCTTTTCCTGATACTATCAAAACTCAGACTATTGTGAAAACATCTACAACAGCTAGCCCTCAGGTGAGAACATAGTATACTTGCATTTATAGAATTAAAGACTGAGAGAATGGGACTGAGAAACAAATGTCTACATTCATCCTATAAAGATGTTGCTAAAAGCCTGGAGTAGTGGCACACGTTTTTAATCCCAGCACTTGGGAGGCAGGGGTAGGTAGATCTCTGAGAGTTCAAGACTAGCCTCGTCTACATAGTGAGTTCTAGGCCACCAGGGGCTTCAGGGAGACCCTATCTCAAAAGACCAAAAAAAAAAAAAAAAAAAAAAAAAAAAAAAGATGTTGCTAAAATTCCTTGTGGGAGATTTGAACAATGTCCAGCCCCCTCCTCCCTTGGTCCCTACAGCAATTGAAGGTATAATTTTGCCAAACTGCAGTTCAGAAAATCAGCGAGTTTATTCGGGCTTACAGAGCAGTGAGTGTGTGTGGGTGCTCCTTCCAAGGCTGCACTAGAAAGTCTTCATCCAGGCTGCATCGTGACTTCCCAGCAGCTGTACAAAATGGCAAGAGAGTCTCCCTGAGGGCTTTCTCAGCTTAGGTACCTTAGTTCCCCCCTCTTGTGCAGTTAGGGCCAACTGGTTGGTTAGGAGACATGACTTGACTCTCCCTGACCCTGTTTTCTTGTAGAGGGTCAACAGTCAGGTTTTGTGATGATCCTAAGCGGGTACAACCAAGCTTGGGAAGAAGGCATCTGTCCATAGCTTGACAGTCAAGAGGACAGTCCTATGCCATAAATGGTCATAAGTAACACATGACTTGCTGAAATTGGACATTTTAAAATACTTTTACTTTATGTCTATGAGTGTATTGCCTACATGTATGTAAGTGCACCCATGTCGTGCAGTGCCCTCGGAGGTCAGAAGGAGGCATCAGATCCCCTGGAACTGGAGCTACAGAGGGTTATTAACCACCATGTGGGTGCTGGGAACTGCAGTCAGTGCTCTTAACCACCAAGCCATCTCCCCAGCCCTGAAATTGGGCGTTTTAAAATGTCAGTGTTACTAAGACCCAACTACTTCTGAGTTTCTGCCTGTGAAATAAATGGAAAACAGAATTAAACATGGCTAAGAACTAAATAAGGGGCTAGGGGTATAGTTCAGTTACTGAGTGCTTGCCTAACACATGCAAAGCCTTGGATTCAGTCCCTAGTACAACATAAACTAGGCATAGTGGTGCATGCCTATAATCCCAGCACTAGAGAGGTAGATGCAGAAGTCCAAAGCCTCACCCCAGAATAGTTGCTTTTCAAAGCTAGATCTTAATAGCTTCACCGCCTCTCCATCTTTTCCTCAGTGGCTAAAGAAGCAGAAACAGTTTAACTGAAATACATGTGAGACAGATGAATCGTGTGTTTCTGGAGTAGTTTTAGGAAGCCTTTCAATAGGGAAGAAAGGTAAATTAGGACAACATACTTTACTTTTTTTCCCCCCTTTTTTCCTTTTCCAAGAGCTTTTTGAGACAAGGTCTCCCTTCTCTAGTCCTGCTGGCTTGGAACTCATTATGTAGACCAGGTTGGCCTTGAACTCAGAGATCGGCCTGCCTCTGCCTCCCACACCACACCTGGCCACTTTTCCATTTTTAAGTTTGGTCATTACCTTAAAAATATACCTATCAGCTGGGCATGGTGGTGCAGGCCTTTAAACCTAGCACTTGGGAGGCAGAGGTAAACGGAGCTCTGTGTATTTAAGGCCAGCCTGGTCTACACAGCGAGTTCCAGGCCAACTGGAGCCACAGGGAGACCCTGTCTCAAGACCGAAAAATAAAATAAAAAAAATATCATACTTTACTGCCAGGGGAGATATGATCATGAAGGCGGGTTTTCCAGGGCAAGGCTTCTCCATTGCACTCCAGATGTGCTGACCCCTGTGATTTCATCTCAAATGTGGGACATTTAACTGCATAATTTGTGGTAGTGAGTTACTGTGTTCACACTTTCCCCTGGGGGGAAAATTCATATTTTTGGACTTACTGCTGTGCATGGTGGCATACACCTGCAATCACAGCACTTTGGAGATAAAAACAGAATGATCAGAAATTCCAGACCAGCCTCTGCTACATAGCAAGTTTGAGGCTAGCCTGGGCTAACGTATTTGGGCGGCGGCGAGTACAGCAGGAAGAAAACACCCAGGAGGCTGTGTCAGTGGACAGCTCGTTTATTGTGGCAGAAGCAAAGGTTTATATAGGAAAGTTTTGTGGGCAAAGAGGTGGGGTTGGTTTCCTGGGCAGGCAGGTAGGGGGAGGGAGGGGGCTTCTAAGGCTATGTGGCCTTTGTCCTGTCCTCTGGTCACATGATCTACAAGAGATCTGGTTAGGATTCACGGATTAGAGACTTAATAGTTTTGCTTGGGGGTTGTTGGGTAAGAGACAGCATATCTAGAATGGAGTGGGCCAGTTTCCTGCCATCCTCACTGGGAGGTCTCCAGGCTGGCAGCCATGCTCTACATTCCAGGCACTCCTGATTTATCCCAACAAACTGTCTCAAACACTCCTTTCTTCCCCCAAGAAAAATGTTCATGCCCTTTGACTAATTCCCTCCCAAAGAAATTTCCAGGTAGTCAGAATTTAATGTACAAAAGTTTTCACTTGCTGGGGATGGTGGCACATGCCTTTAATCCCAGCAATTGGAGAGGCAGAGGCAGGTGGATCAAAAAAGGTTTTCACTATAGAAATGATTGTATATCTAGAGATGGGAGCCTGATAAAGCAATTTCAGTCCATAAGATACTGGCTGTATATAGGTACTAGATGAAGCTGGAATGATGTAGGATGAAAGCTAAGGAAAAGTTCTGGAGTCTTGACAGGCTCCAGATGATGTACACATGAACCAGGTAACAGTGCCTTGACAAAGAATAGGTCTTGGTTTATTTATATTCCCAAACTACTTTTGGTTTCTTTTTTACTGAAATAGAATGCAAAGACAGGAAAACAATTGCAGCTCTCAAAGGCATCAGACGTGTCTCTAACTGAAAGACTGGAGCACCTAGAAAGACTGATCCGGAGCTCAAGGGAAGAAGAAGTTGCCTCTGAACTCCATCTTTCTGCACTGCTGGACATGGTGGACATTTGAGTAGCCTGACATAAGAAGTGTTTTTCTCTTCAGAATGAGTTCTGATTTTATTCAAATTATGTTGTTCTCAGATGCTTGATGCATGTTGGAAATGTGATTATTAATTATGTAAATAACCCAGCAGCCTCACAGCTCCGAACTCGCAGTGAGCAGCGAGCAGAGCCGGTCCTCCTGGTCCACCCTTTGAGGGATCATCGTGGTTGGATCGCTCGAGGGTTAGAGCCCGACTGCTGAAGCAGCACCTGAGAAGTTTGGGCCCTGAAGTTTTTGTTCCAGAAACTTATATAGACAAGAAAGATGTTGTACAAGGCACCCAAAAGCAGACAAAATGGGAGATTGCTAGTGTGATCCAAAGGAAAATTCAGTGATTGAATCAAATAAAGCAGTGGCACAGTAAAAAAGAAAAAAAAAATATGCAAATAAACCATTTGAATCATACCGAGATCCTTTTCAGTTTTCTGAATGAAAGGCTGTATTAGTTACTTTTCTGTTGCTGTGATAAAACACCATGACCAAGGGAACTCATAAAAGGGGAGAATTTACTTAGGAATTTACAGTTTCAGAGGAATCAGGAGTCCTTCAATGTGGGTAGGCATGGTGGCAGGAAGTGGCCAGAAGAGGAAGCAGATCACTCACATCTTGAAGCAGGCACAGGAAGCAGAGCTTGACTGAAAGTCTGGCAAGGCTTAAGAACTTTAAAAACCTGTCACCAGTGACATACTTTTTCCAGAAAGGCCACACCTAAAACCTCCCAGAAAAGGCACCACCAGTTGGGGACAAAATGTCCAAATATTGCCTCTGGGAGAAGTTCTCATCCACAAAAGTCCTTTGTGATGTCTTTAATTTTCTTACTATTTTGTAATCTTAAGACTATCACCCACAAGCAAATGCTCTGATGCAGTCCAAGGTTTATATTTGTAGTAGGTGATTAATTTTCTTAACAAAATCATAGTCCCTGATGTACCATGTACTTGTCTTACCCTTCCAGTTTCTAGGACACAGGTTATGTAGCTTCCTGTACCCCCTAGATCTGTGAGTTTCCCCAGACCTGTGAGAACCCCAGCCCCAGTGTTTTGTTTTGTTTTGTTTTTCCTACCACCCCACACCCTCAGGCCTAGCTGGGGGCATGCAGCCATCACACTGACCCAACTTGGTCAATTCTAGAGAACCTCACCTGCCCTTGCAGCCATCAGCACACCTCCCAGGCATGCCTTGAGGTTGTGCTGCCAGTACATCACCCCAGAAAGACTCAGTCAAGGGTTACATTTAACACATTTTCTTGGATCCCACCTAACAGGAATCACCCCTGTCCTTCTAATCAATTATCAACAGACCTGTCTGCTAACTTGCTCCCCTAGCATCCACACAGCTCACCCTGTCACTCCAGGAACAGAATATGCAGGACACTATAAAAAGAACAAATCTATGAATCATAAGTACAGAAGAAGAAATCCAGGTCAAAGGCACAGAAAATATTTTTAACAAAGTCATAGAAGAAAACCCTGAATCTTAACAGAAACTGTTCAAGGTACAAGAGGCATAGAGAACACCACATAGGATCAAAGACCCTCCCTACATCATATAGTAGTCAAAATACTAAATGTACAGAACAAAAGATACTGAAAGCTGTGAGAAAGATCAAGTCACATATAAAGGTAGACCCATCAGAATAACCGTTGATTTTTCAATGACAATTATGAAAGCCAAAAGGGCCTGGACTGTTAAGGCATGTTTTCACCAGAGAAGACCATTCAGACAGAAAATAGCCAAAAAGAAAGCCTTTATTAGCCCACTGGCAACTAACTACACTGGGCATTCAGGTCCCAAGTGCAGCCCCAAGCCAACTTTAGGGCAAGCTTTTATACAGAAAAATCACGTGAGGGGAAACGTTTGAGTTTACAAACATTTCCATAGCTTAGGGGTGGAAAGCCCCTCTAACAATTACTATTCTGTAAGAGCAAACCAAGCATAAAACACAGAAGCCATAAATCTGAAGTTAGCAGAAACAACCAGGACCCTGCTGACGTGTTTTCTAAGCAACCAGGAGCCTGCTGATGTGTTCTCAAACTTGGTGCAGCTGAGCCCCACACCCTGGGCCAACTACCTTTTAGTTTTCAGAGGCTAGATTCAGTCTGGACTCCAATATGGCGTAGCTGTAGTCAAGAAGATCCCTTATCACAGACCTATGTCGTACAAATCATGAACACAGATACCCAGCAAAACTATCAGTTATAATCAAAGGAGAAATAAAAACTTACCATGTTTAAAACATTTAAGGAGTTTATGTTCAGGAAGCCAGCTCTACAGAGAATAATCAATGGAATACTTTGGTCTGAAGAGAAGATTAAACATTTTTAAGAAGGCACAAAGAATAAATTGACAATTCCAGAACAGGAACCACAAGAGGTCTAAGAATAAAACTACACCACCAACATAAGCATTGGTCAATAATAATAATAATGGCCTCAATTCCCCAATAAAAAGACATTTACCTGATGGAATTAGAAAACAGTCGGTCCATTGTTTTGCTGCTGCCAAGAAACATACTTTACCATCAATGAATGACCGCTGTTGGGGGACCCTGCTGCTAAGATTGTAGTCCTCCATGTCCAGATAGCCCTAAGGGGGCTTGGCACTATATGAAAGGACTTCTTTTCTCAGCAGGGGCCTCCTGCTCTCTGCCTGATGTACCTGGGAAGTGCCACCAAGCACGGATGCCTGACCTTATTTGGAACATGACCTTTGGCATAGTTACCTGCTATAAAACTACCCCTAGGTTTTTTCTATATGATAATTAGGCATTGCCCTATAGTCGGATGATAGGACCCCCCCACCACATGTAAATAAAGCATACTATGAGCACCTATCAGCTGAGACTTTGGCTGCTGGCTCCACACTATGTTTTCCCTAACCCCCACTGAATAAACGGAGCTGTATCACCGAATCTGCCTCTCCAGAAAGTCTTTTTCTGTCATGCTCACTGGCCATCCTGAACCCTTTCGTCACTTCTGCTCCCTTTGTTCTCGTGGGTCGGTGGCCAGTGGCCCACGAGGGGAGGGAGAGACCCACAGACCACCGTAGAGTACAAGGAAGTGGAAAACAAACAGAGGTAGCTCTTCCAAGATCTGACAAAATAGACTTCAGTCTAAAACTAGTCAGAAGAGATAAGGAGGATCACTTCATATAATCATTAAACACCAAGAATATTACAATCCTAAACACATATGCATCACAAACAGGGGCACTGAATTTAATAAAAGAAACTTTGTTAGATCTAATGCCACATGCTGATTGTAACACAGTGGTAGTGCGTGACTTCAGTATCCAATGGTCACCAATAGATAGATCAGACAAAAACTAAATAGAGAATCCCTGAGTAAAATAACATTATAAATCGAAATGGACCTAAGAAACATTCACAGACACAAAGCAACTCTCCACAAATTTAGTAAAATTGAACTAACTCTATCTGACCCAAAAGGAATAAAGCTAGATATAAACAAAAAATAGAAATGGGAATAGGTAGTGGCTGGAGAGATAACTCAGTGGTTAAGAGCACATACTGCTCTTCCAGAGGACCTTCAAAATGACTGTCTGGGAACCCTGTTTCCCTGGGATGACTTGGAACTCATGCTTTAGTACGTCTTGTTTTTGTATTTTTTTGGCGGGGGAATTTAAAATTGTGTGTACATGTGTGTGATGTGTATAGATATGCATATGTAGACCAAAGGACAACTTTGTGGAGTTGGTTCTTTTTTCATCCAGGCTTCCACAACAAGTGCCTATACTCACTGAACCATCTCATTGCCCCTTTAAATTTTTAAGATTGGTCTGGGGTAGTGGCTCAAGCCTTTAGTCCCAGCACTAGGGAGCAGAAGCAGGCAGATCTGAGTTCAAGGCCAGTCTGGTCTACATAGTGAGTTCCAGGCCAGCTGGGGCTACAGGGCGACCCTGTCTCAAAAAGACCCCCCCAAAAGAGAGCTTATTACTTTACACATAAAATGTCCATTTCAGTAAAATATCACTCAAGTCCTCTGTAGTTGAAAGCTCTGTCATCTAGTTTTCTCAAGACTCAGAAGTGTGAGATTCCATCTTATTCCTACTTTTCATGTTTCTACATGTAAGGACTTCCCCAGAGAGGTTTCCAGCTTCTTTCTGCTCCCAGAGAAATGTACTGACTAATTTCTTTGATGAATTTGGGAGACCAGGGATGGTCTAGTGTTCCCAGGCTTCTCTGGGTACCTTTATTTTTGGTCTTCTCATTGGTACAGTGCTCTTACATGGTGCCTGATGGATAAGCGCCATAGCCTGGAGGCTACACTTTTTCGCATGGGTCAGAAGCAGAGACATAATTGAGCCCAATTTAGGACTGACCAGTGAGTGGATGTGGGCAAAGCGGCCCTTTAAGCCTTGTCCTCCAAACCAACCTTTTAAACCTTTTAATATGTGGCAAGGCTGACATAGAAATCTGGTGCCTACCCACTTCAGTAGTATCTGAACTGGGGTAAGACGAGGTTATTGTTCTTGACTGGTCATCTAAAACTCTAATATTGCATTGAAGGAAGGTGTGTGAGTGTTCTCTGCCTCCAACTTCTCTACCCGGCTTGTGATTCATTGCCACAGCAAGGTTCATTGGGGTAGCATTCAAGGACTGGGTATAAGAAGCCATCTGGTTTGTATCCTTCAAACGAGGTCAGTGCTTCTGTGGGTTCTTGGAGCTCTATCTTTAGACCTCTGACCTCATGCCAGCAATACCTCAAGTTGGGTGACCCAGTGCTCCTCAGCTATTTGGTTGTGCTGGCACACCACGAGCTTTTCCGCCTCCTCTCCCTAGTTTCAAGGGAAAGTTAAGGCCTTTTAAAAAGTTAAGGACTTTTCCTTTTAACCTCTTTTGGAACCCCAAACTCCAGGTGCCCTGTGAATCCTCGTGTGGCTAGAGAGGCTGTTGTGGGTCAGGACTTTTTTAAAAAAATATTTACTATTTTTATTTTGTGTGTATGAGTTGTGTGTATGAGTGCACCCATGTCGTGCAATTTCGCAGAGGTCAGAAGAGGGCTTCAGATACCCCTGGAACTGGAGTTAAGGACGGTTCGTACCCACCAGGTGGGTGCTGGCAATTGAACCTGGGTTCTTTGCAAGAGCAGTCAGTGCTCTTAACCGCTGAGCCATTGCTCCAGCCCTTGTGGGTCAGGACTTTAAGGCTGCCTTGCCCATGCACCGGGACCAGAAACCATCAGAAGCCCGTGCCTGGTTTCCAAGGACGCCAGTGTGGCCCTCTCCACAACTACATCATCACGGCTTTCTCTGTCCCTGACCCGGGGCAAGGCCCCTGCCCAGTTGTGGTGCGATGCATCCTTCCACTCTCCGTGGTGGCCCCTTCCCTTACCAGGCCCTAGTGACTGCAGCTCAGCGCTGCTTTCAGGCCACCTCAGTTTCTTCGGTGCTTCTCCTGAAGCGCTCGCGGCTCCCACGGCCTTTCCTCCAGGAGTCAGCGGGGTCTTCTTTACCAACCCCGGACACATCCCACCTCCACGGGACCGCCTCGCGAAGCCGGGTGTGTGGGTCCACGGCGGTTGGAAGACCGGGACGCCACCCAGCCGCCCCACGCTCGTCCGGCCCCTAGGCCCCGCCCCTACTCCGCCGCATAGCTACTCCCCCCAGGCCCCGCCCATGTAGGCCCCTCGCGGCGTGGGGTGTCTCGCGCTCAGCCACTGTAGTCGCCGTACGTTTCCGCGTGCCCACCTCGCGGCGCTCTGATTGGCCGCCCAAGCGTCGGCCCAGGAGCGCGCCTGCGCAGTGCGCAGGGCTGTCTATCAGGCTGCTGGCTGCTGGAGGCTGAGAGAGGGGCTGACATGACTGAGGGCACGTGAGTTTCGGACCCTGAGCCTCCCTTGGGCGTTGGGGAGACACGGTGGGGTAGTGGCAGGGAAGGTGGGGGCCGTTCTGTGAGGCGGGCGGGTCGCCGCCGTAGTGGCCGCGCACGGTGGGTTGAGCCCAGCGGGCCGAAGCCTGCGGAAGGCCGCTTATCCGCCCTGGTCCGCTCAGGTGCCTGCGTCGTAGAGGGGGGCCGTATAAAACCGAGCCTGCCACCGACCTCACCCGCTGGCGGCTCCGCAATGAGATGGGCCGGCAGACGTGGACGTACTTCCAAGCGGAGGACGACCCTGGCCGCGAGCAGAACGGGCTCGAGGCCCACTCCTTGGGGCTGGACACGGTGAGTGCGGGGTTCCGCAGACGCCCTCCCCTCTGCCGGCCGGGAGTGACCACGGACCAGCCTCTCACCCGACGGCAGGGAACCTTGTTCTAGAGCTGGGGCAGGTCTGCAGTCCCAGTCCCTGGGGTGGGAGCCGCAGGAGGGCCGCGAGTTCAAGGTCTACCTGGGCAACTTAGCCAGAACTTGTCCCAGAAAAGGAAGCAGAGAAAAAGAAGGCTGGGGATGTCGTTCAGTGTGATTGAACGTTTGCCTAAGTTCAGGCACCAAAACAAAGAATGTGCTCCGTGGGCAACGCCTTTAAGCACTTTTGTATAATTTTCAGTGTATAGAGGAGTTGTGAAGATTGTTTTTATTCACAAAAAGCAATTCTTTGGCCCGATGCTCTGGTTGTGTACATCAGTGTATGAAATTCAGCCAGTCATGGAGTAGTTAGGCTAAACAGGCTTCCTTTGCGTCCTGGTTATCAGCTGGGAGGAACCCCCAGCTGTTACTGTGAGGGAGAAAGGCAGGAGTCCCAGTATCAGTTGGCTGTCAGTATGCCACCCCATGTTCTGTGATGGATTTAAGATATCTTGAAGTTTTGAAGAAATGTGAAAGTAGGTGGCTAAAAGATAAGTCATGACTACATGGGATTGCTCTTTAACTTTGCTGGGGTGATACTGTCATTAAAGATATTTCACCCAAAACTTTTAAAAGTAATTTAGATTTTGACTAGTTTGACTTGGCCTGTGAATGAGGGTTCTTCAGGGCAGCAGGCACCCTCAGCTCTCACCTTCTTCTCCCTTTACAGAGGAGTTACTTTAAGGACTTGCCTAAAGCTCACACTGCCTGTGAAGGGGCTCTGAATGGAGTAACATTTTACGCAGGGCTGCAGGCTGAGGATGGACACTGGGCGGGTGATTATGGAGGCCCACTCTTCCTCTTGCCAGGTAGGCTTATGCTGTCACAACTCGAGTTTAAACAAATAGAAACCTAGAAGCTCATGGGGAAAGCTCTAGAGTAGAGTTGCCTTGTGTTCCCAGTCACCCTGCAGCTGGTGCTGGGTACAGTAGTGAAGCCCAGCTAACCCAGTACAGGGTGGCAGGTACTTTGATAAGAGAAGTAAAGGGTTCCCTAGGGTCTGGGGGTTGGGGAGGCAGCCTTTGAGTCCCAGTGCAAGATGGAAAGGACATTTTAGGTAGAAGGCCCATCCTGTGCTGCAGCACTGTAGGTAGGCAGGGCGGTGGGTGAGGAGCTGATATCCATACATGTGCAATGTGAGCACTGTCATATCACATGGGCTCCGCAGGCCCTGACCTGTGTTGTTGCTGGTTTTCCCTGAACCGTGTTTTCTAAGCCGATTAGACCTAGAAGGAATGGCTTTCCTGGGCTTATTTGCATGGGAAGGAGAGTCACACGGCAGTGTGTCAAGGTGGGGTTCTCAGGAAGAGGGCTTGGGCTTAGTGTTGAGTACTCGCTCCTAGTGAAGAACCCTGTTCTTGTCACACAGGCCTCCTGATTACGTGCCATGTGTCACACATCCCTTTGCCAGCTGGATACAGAGAGGAGATGGTGCGGTACCTGCGATCAGTGCAGCTCCCTGACGGCGGCTGGGGCCTGTGAGTGTGCCCAATTGCACACATGTACATGTGTGTGCTTGTGCATGTTTTTATGTAGGTAATGCTCAGATTTCCAGGTAGTTGTTGACAAGTGGGATGTCTGCAGCCATGGATCTGGGATGGGAGAGAGCCTGACAGGAGAGTAGGCTGGCATCTATGTGCAGCCTGGGCCTTCGCTCCACCCCTGGTGTTGAGAATAGGTTTCATGGTTGGTGAGGAACCTCTTGAGATCCCCATGCCAAGTTAAAGCCATCATGTTTTAAAATTATGGCGGTAGCAGAGATGGCTGCAAGTGTAGTGGGCCCCCATGGCCCCATCTCTTCCTAATGTGGCACACACTTTGGGAACAGTGCTCTCGTCTGTAGTGAGTGGACTGTCCTTGGAGCCACGTGGGAAGTGAGCAGGGGGCAGGCAGGGCAGGTCCTGCCTAGGTGGGTTTAGAGCCTTCGGATGTCTCCTGAGAGGTGAATAAATTGCCTGGGAGTACCTGCATTGTGCTTCTGTGTTGTGTTGATAGGAGGTATTCTAGAATTTTTTCCAGGCAGATTTCACTGCCAGTATTGTTATATTTCTTAGAAATAGTGACAGGCCATTTTCCCACCAGTCTCATGCTTCCATTAGGCACATTGAAGACAAGTCCACAGTGTTTGGGACTGCCCTCAGCTATGTAGCTCTCAGAATCCTGGGTATTGGACCCGATGATCCTGACCTTGTTCGTGCTCGGACCATTCTTCACAAGAAAGGTAGACCCTGTATAGCATGTGGGTTTGTATCATATTGGTGTAATGAGCTCTTGCAGATGAGAATCAGTAAGATATACCTCCAGTTGAAACACTGGGGAAAATATATGAATGGGTAGAAACTGTTAAGCGGTTTAATTAATTAATTTATTTTGTGTATGTATGTGTATGATGGGGCAGGGGTGGGGCTTATGCATGGTAATACACTTGTGAAGGCTAGAAGACAACTTTGTGGAGTTGATTCTCTCCTTCTACCTTTACGTGGGTTCCAGGGATCAAAGTTAGGTCACCAGGCTTGCATGGCAAGGGCCTTTACTCACTGAGCCATCTTGTCGGCCCAGCTGTTTAAATTTTTTAAAAGCACTTTGGGTGTGTGTTTGTTTGCTTTTTGAGAAAGACTGTCATGTAGCCCAGGCTGGCCTTGAACTTACCCTGTAGTTATGTAGGACTTTGAACTCCTTATCCTTCTGCCACATCCTCCTGAGTGCTAGGGTTATAGGTGTAGGCCACCATGCATGGTTTATATGTCGCTGGGGGGCTTTGTGCCTGTTAGGCAGGCACTCTACCAATTAAGCTACATCTCCAAGCCCAAAACAATCTGATATTCTGCTTCTTTCATGAATTAGTAAAGATGTAATGTTTGTGAGACAGTCCATAAAGTCTGCCTTCTAGAGGCAGCCCAACCACAGGTCAGTAGCCCCAGTGAGGGTTCTGCTTGTCCCCATACTTGCCATCCATGGAACCTGAATACAGCTACCTCTCTTCGCCTGTAGGCTTTAAAGGCAGACTCATGACTCCCACTGCTCTTAAAAGAAAGCACAACTTACATTGCTGTTCTGCATTGCCTGGCCTGGTCCCACCTACATCCTACCTCCCCTTACATCCACTTCTTTCTTCTTGTCTTTCTCTTTGCTCCATGCTCAAGGGCCTCCTTTCAGCTCCTCAAAGCCCTTTCCTACCTTGTGACTCCCATGCCCTGTATCTCTCCACTTTCTACCTTCACCTTGGTGTCCTGGATATTCCTCTTTGCACTCTACAGTAATCTTAAATTTTACTCCTTCAGGATTTCTTCCTGACTTCCCAGGCTAGATGAAGTGTCCTGTATACATAATGAAATTCTGCAATCTTCAAATGTTTCTCACTGTTGTGATTAAGTTACCGTCAGCCTCTGGTGTCATTGATCCTGCACTCAGTAGGTTTCTGTCTGTTTCCCTGTGACTCTTCTGGTGCCTGCCTGGAGGAGGAATGTGTTTGGACTATACTTCAACTAGTAGCTTTCTAGGTCTTTTTGACTTTGACACACTTGGGTTTAGGACAGAACACATAAAATATGTGCCAGTCAGTGTTGCCATATGCTGTGCAAAAAACTAACAATTGCTCCAGGGTTGGGGAGGTGTTCTAAATGTGGGGCCACCATATGGGTTAGACTGTCTTGAAGTTACTTATCTGTTCCAGACTGTCTGCTAAATGGGAATATACAAATGGGCAGCTTGGGCTTGGTTGGAGAAAGAGAACTGTCTTCTCATTCTGTTTTTCTCCAGGCACATGTAGACACAGGCTACCATGTATATCTGAGCCCCTCCCTCCCTGAGCATGAGGTATCCCTGAAGCTTCTGAGGCAACTGCCTTCCTGTATTCTTTAGGGGCTGCTGCGGTCTCCAAACCCCTTCGTCTTGGGGAAAGGAACAGAGGTCCGTGGCGATGGGGGTTGAGGAGGGGAAAGTGCGCTGCCCGCCTGTTTTGCCAGCCCTTCTCTCCGAGGACAATCAGACACGGCAGGGAGTCTGTCAAGCAGCAGAAACTCGTTTATTATTAAGGCTGAACAGTATTTAAAGGCAAAAACCACAAGCATAGCATAGGCAGGGAGGCCGGCATCCAATCAGCTCAGAGGTCACGTATTAGTGCACAGGCCCTTCTCATAGCATAACTCAGTGTTCACGAGGTGATCATGCGTCCTTCACTGGCTGAGCTTCAATCAGTATTACTTCTTCTTATTGTTGCGTGCCAAGCTGGCCAGCTGGCTCTGCCTTCACCTAAGCTGCTCAGCACCATCTTGTTACCATACCTCCACAGGGGCAAGGACTGTAAACAGCTCTTTTGGGAATGGACATACTTAGTTCTGGCTGCTTTTTTTACCCAGGGGTTATGGTGTTCCGGGAGGCTGTGGAACCTGCTTCTCACATGGGCATAGCAGGACCCATGTCAGGCTGACCCTCATTTCACTGCAAGAAGGGGCACAGGTGATAGCTGTAGGCCAATTTTCCAAGGTAGTGGTAGTTGATTTGGGCTTGTCTCTTTCCAGGTGGTGCAGTGGCCATCCCCTCCTGGGGGAAGTTCTGGTTGGCCATCCTGAATGTTTATAGCTGGGAAGGACTCAACACTCTGTTCCCTGAGATGTGGTATGCCTGCCCTCTGCCTAGTACTCTGCCTTCCCTAGTAGATGATGGGACCTAAGGGAGTGGCTTAGGCTGTGGCCAGGAGCCCTTGGTGCACTAGAGCCTACAGATATATGGAAAGGGGATCCTCTTTTAGGCAGGAAGGAGTTACCGGTGGACCCAGCTGCAGGTTGTGTAATTACAGAACCCATTGTGTTGGCGCAGTGGGGAGCTTGGGCTTTATGGGGATAGAAACAGATAACACTTAGTAATTATGAGACATTTTGAGCACATATGGTAGTAGAGGAAAGAGCTTCCTCTTTCTTCCCTACCACAGTCAGGTTATCCCCATATCTCTCCTTCTGTTCATCTGATTTCTGTGGGATTCCCCTGGAACTGGAGTTAGGGACTGTTTTAGCTGCCATATAAGGGCCAGGAATCGAACCCGGGTCTTCTGCAAGAGCAGCCAGTGCTCTTAGCTACTGAGCCATCTCTCCAGCCCCAATAATTAGATAATTTTTTTAAAGTAAACTTTAATTTTGGGATGCTTTTCTATTTCCAGAGTATTTGTAGGAAGTCCATAGTGTTTTTTGTTTGTTTTTATTTTATGTATATGCGTGTATTGCCTGCATGTAGGTAAATGCACCCGTGTCATGCAATACCCGGGGAGGTCAAAAGAGGCTGTTGGAGCCTCTGGGACTGGAGTTACAGACAGTTACTAGCTGCCATGTGCTGGGATTTGAACCCCAGTCTTCTGCAAGAACAACCAGTGTTCTTAACTGCTGAGCCATCTCTCCAGCCCGGTAGTCCATAGTGTTTTGTAGACTCTTTTTCACCTTGTTTAGAGTTACTGTGGTACACTTGTTGGCTCAAGAGACCAATCATGTGACTTTAGACTGCAGAATGCACAGACGGGAATATACACACAGTAGCATTTGTGTCCATGCTTAGGAGGGCAAAAGGCCTCAGGGCTGTCAGTAATACAGACTTATGTCCTCTTGTCCCACTGATACATGCTTGCCCCCTAGGCTGTTTCCTGAATGGGTGCCCGCACACCCCTCCACTCTCTGGTGTCACTGCCGGCAGGTCTATCTGCCTATGAGCTACTGCTATGCCACTCGGCTAAGTGCCTCAGAGGACCCACTGGTTCAGAGCCTCCGCCAGGTAAGCCTTATGATTTCTAGGTACCTTGTAAGGAAATGGCACACAGCCTTTAGGCTTGAGCCTTTGGAGCTTAACTGTGCATCTTAGCTCACTGGGGTCCTGAGGAAACTTTGCCTTCTCTCCTATTAACAAACAGTAAACTGCCCAGAGGTACCTTTGTTGTGGAATAGTCACCTGCCTTTGCCCAGTGTCCCAACAGGACTTGGAGAGTTCACAAGCTACAGGGCATGGACACCCAACCCCTGAGCAGTCCTAACCCACATTTGTAGTTATGTCCTTGGGAAATAGCCCTGAGATGGAGTTTGGGTACAGGATATACACTTGGGCTCTCAACGCTAGAGCAGTTCCTTAGATTGTCTCCAATGTAGTTGAGATGACTGGGCTTCACACCCTGTAGTAGTGATTCACTGGGTGTTTCCTATCCCTGAGAAAGTATATGGCCCAGAGCCCTGAGAGCTGGAGGCTGGAGACAGCTCCTGGTTAGAGTTAGGTCATCTTCTGTGTCTGGGAGGTGTGTCTTTTTCCTCTGCAGATACTTAGACATCCCCTGCCCTTTAGGAGCTCTATGTGGAAGACTATGCCAGCATCGATTGGCCAGCACAGAAGAACAATGTGTCCCCTGATGAGCTGTACACACCACATAGCTGGTTGCTGCGTGTGGTGTATGGTGGGTACCTCCGGAGGTCAGGGAGAGCCTGAGTGCACAGTCAGTGTTACTCAGCTCTCCATTAGTTCATTCACTGCTCACTCTGTCAATGTAATGAATGACTTCTGTGCTGGGCCCTGGAGTAGGAGCTGGGAAGACCTTGTCCTGGTCCCCAGCAATGACCAGCTGTTCTCAGGAGAGACCCCCTCAACATACCTAGGCAGGGCAGGGCAGACCATAATGGGAGGTATGAAGCAGCCCTCCCTAGATAGGAAGGAGGAGGCACAGATAAGGCAGGGTGAATGGAAGGAAGGAGGCCAGGGGAATAGAAAGGCCCAGATGTGGAGCCCATCCCTGTTTGAAGGACAGGAGCATAGCCTGCACAGGAATCCCAGGAGTCCCCCCATGTTGCCAGATGCCCGCTGATGCCTTCTGCTGCCCTGTAGGACTCCTCAACCTGTATGAGCGTTTCCACAGTACCAGCTTGCGGAAGCATGCCATCCAGACACTGTATGACCATATCGTAGCTGATGACCGTTTCACCAAGAGCATCAGCATCGGCCCGGTCAGTACCCCCATCTCCTGGTGCTTGGAGCTGCTCTGGGAGCAGTGAGACCCCTATCAGGTACCCCCAGGAGCTAGACTGTGGAACTAGGAATGAGGCAGGTTTATTTCCTAGATCCTGGCATACCTCTATTTGGGTCAAGGCCTGGTTTCAGATATTTGAAGCACTCCTGTCCTAGTCTCTTGGCTCAGTGATGCTGCCTTCCTCCTACCTCCCTATCTGACTCTTGACTACATGTCTGAATACCACCTGAATGACATTTCCTGAGTTTTCTGGCCAGCTGGGCAGGGTGCTTTTTCTCTCATGACCCCCCCTCACAGATCCCACCCTAGATAATCTATTTTCTGTCCCTTATACAGAGTTTAGAGGTGCACAAGGGTGCAGTGGAAGTATCCAGGCCCTCAGATTGCATTTCTAGTCTCTCCTAGAGACTAGATTCTGCTCTACTTCCTGGCTCTGGCCATCTGTACACATTCTCAGGGACCTCATGCTTCTGGCTGATTGGTCAGGGCATACTACCTAGAGCAAGTGGACTGGGTAGAGACCCAGCAAGGAAGCTGTTCTCATAGATGGGGAACAACTGGGTACCAGGATGTATAGTAACCGGTAGTATTGGTTACTATACTGTGGTGAGTTGCCCTATGGATTCTTTGGACAAGCACAACTAGCACTGAACTTCCTCCTCCTTCCCTATGGACTCTTGGTCCTTCTTCAGTCCCTTCACACCCTAAGCTGGCTCAGGATTTTAACTGACAAATTAACCTCAGTCTGAGTCTACATGACTGTGTAGAAGAGCACTTAGGAAACACCTGTTAGGTGGTGACCTGACCTGAGGTGAGGAAGCACAAGTCCTGATAGCCACATCTCCTACAGATCTCAAAAACCATCAATATGCTTGTGCGCTGGACTGTGGATGGGCCTGCCTCCCCTGCCTTCCAGGAGCATGTCTCTAGGATCCCAGATTACCTCTGGTGAGTGTGGCTAGGTGGTGGCTGGGATGTGGTGCTGAGTACTGACTGTAGACATGCAGCTCTGATGCTGGGCCCCTATACCTCATCCACTTAGGGATGTCAGGGTGCCAGGTATCTGAGAATAATTTCTGAAAACAGGAGCAGTGCCAGTGAGATTGACTTTGGGAAGATTTGCTACCTAGCAGGAACTTTTTTTTTTTTTTAATTAGAAGAAGCATTTCATTACAACAGCATTAACCTATTCAATAACATTTTTCTGAGCTAGGGTACATCTCTTTCAAAATTGGCTGTACATTTTTAGGTTTACAGATGAATTATTACGCTTATACAATCTTTTACTCATTATAAACTCTATAAGACATAAAATTAAATGAGGTTTTAACGTTTAAAAAAGATCTCCACTTCGTTGTTAAAATAGTTTCATACAGAAAAATTCATTTTAAGGCAATTGACATTGAGACGTTTTCACATGCATTTCTAATCTCTCTATATATATGACTATTACTGGTCACAATCGCTTACTTTCTGAGTTACTTGGCATCTGAGTATGAATAT